GATAGCCACTACGCTATTCCCATAGTCAATATTAGGTTCTCCGATGGCGCACGTAAATTTTCCACCGTGCCAACCGGAGACAACATGGCAACTATTTATTTGCCCGCAGAACTGTATGAAAAAAGCAACTACGATCTAGATAAACTCTTTGCCATTAAGATAAAAGACCAAGCTATGGAGCCAAGCCTCTATGATGGTGACTGGGTTGTCGTTAACGCCGCCGATGCAACCCCTAAGAGCGGCGTCGCTTTCGCAATTCATGAAGAAAAAGAAGTGGTAGTCAGACGACTTTTTAGAATAAACAATCAATGGATTATTTCATCAGATAATTTGGACAAAAGAATCTATAAAGATAAGCCTATGGCAAAGGGAAATTTGATCCTAGGCCGTGTAGTGCATAAGCAAAGCAGTCGCATCTAATAAGAAAAAATAAGTTGCATAACAGGAGGTAGGGATTCTTCTCTACCTCCTTACTTTTTGAGTAAATTTCCATCCCACTTGGCTTAAAAAAAGCGACTCTGGTCAACTTTTTTCACCAAACATGTATACTTTTATTGACAATACTTATTATATTTGTATACTTTTACATACACAACGTTTTACAGTTTTAAGCACTGAAGCGGTCGCCATCCCCTGGCCTGCTTTCAACATTGAATAGGAGAAAGCCATGACAGAAGCAACCAAAGAACCGGCGCTAGAGAAGAAATTCAAATTACTCACTGATGATTTTGTCGAGCTACCAGGAACAAGCCTAAAAATCAGCGCCCTAACCCATTTTGGCAACGTCAAGGCTGGAGAAGTTAACTAAAGGTGCCGCCATGAAAAAGTTCCTCACTGATTTCATCTATTACGTGCGTCGTGGCTATGGCATCCGCAAAGCATGGAACCTCGCAAAAGTGACGCTATGAACATCTATAACGTTCCGTGTGCGGTCACTGCTGAGCTGAATCGCTACCTCACGCAAATGGATAGAGAAAATCTTTGGCAAGAAGCCGTCGAATCCAGGCAGGAGGCACTACTTGCTGATGGTGGCGACTACTACCCCTTCTCGACTGACAATCTTTCGGAGGCAATCGGCGAGATCAACATCAAAACCATCGCCGTCTCGCTCAAGGCCGGCAAACACGAAGAAGCAGGAAAAGTACTCGCCAGTTTGGTGATTTCTTATTGGGAACGCGAAGCCCAATGCAAGGCTGAGCGCGAGATCAAAAATGAAATGGCTAATACCTGCCTATTTTGCCGTGGCCTAGGTTGCCGCCACTGCGGCGAAACTTAGAAGAAAGGACAAATGATGAGCGCACCAAACGATGCCTTCTTGAAGGCAAGACAGTCTGGCTTAGGTGGGAGTGATATAGCCACACTATTTGGCATTAACCCATTCTCTACCAAGTTAGAACTCTATTTGCAAAAGCGCGGCGAAATCGAAGCACAGCTGGACAACAGTCGCACAAAGGCTGGCCGGGCCATGGAGCAAGTGATTGCGGCGATGGTTTCGGAGCGCACGGGCAGCAAACTGCGCCGAATAAACAGGACGCTACGCCACCCCAAACACGACTTTCTAATTGCACACATTGACCGTGATTTTGTCGGCATCTCGAAAGGGCTTGAGATCAAGAATGTCAGCCCGCGCATGGGCTATCTGTGGGGCAAAGACGGCCAGCCAGACGCCATCGCCGAATATTACATCCCACAACCCCATCATTACATGCTGGTTCTAGATTACCCAGCATTTGACGTAGCGGGCTACTTCGGGGGAGACGATCTGCGTATCTACCCGATGGAGCGCGACCCAGAGATGGACGAAATCATCATCGAGACAGCACACGACTTCTGGCACAAACATGTTCTCGCCGGCATCCCGCCCGACCCCGAATTTGATCACCCGGCAACGCTGCCGATGTTCAAGCGATTGTATCCAGGCACCAATGGGATAACCGTCGAAGCTGACGAAATAATTCTGCACTGGGCCAAGGTTGCACAAGACGCGGCCAAGCGTGCGAACGAATACGAAAAAATCGCAGAAGGCGCTAAAAATCATCTACTGGCCTTCATGGGCGATGCTGCCATTCTAAAACTGGACAGCAACAAGGTATTGCGCCGCAAGTTGGTTCAGAAGAAACCCTATACCGTCGAAGCGAGCAGCTACATTGACGCCCGTTTTGGCACAACCAAGGAGTAAATTAATGAACGAAGTTATCACCGCTAACCCCTTTGCGGCATCTGCTCCCGCTCAAGCGCGTGCATGTAGCAATGCTCTTGCCCAAACCGACCAACAGCGTGCAATCGCAGAAGTTCAGGCCGCCATGATGATTGCCCGAATGAATCCGCGTGATCCTATCATTGCAATGGATCGTATCCTCAATGCCTGCGCACGCCCGAGCTTAGCAGATGCTGCTGTATACACCTACGCAAAGGGCGGTTCGGATGTCAGCGGCCCATCGATTCGACTTGCCGAAGCAATGGCTCAAGTTTGGGGGAACATGCAGTTTGGCATTCGTGAACTGGATCAAGCCAACGGCGAATCTACCGTACAAGCCTATGCTTGGGACGTTGAGACCAACACCCGCCGAGAAATCACGTTTCAAGTACCTCACCTCCGCTATACGCGGAAAGGCTCGTATAAGTTGGAAGACCCACGCGAAATTTACGAGTTAGTCGCTAATCAAGGGGCAAGGCGTTTACGTGCGTGCATCTTGGCCGTGATTCCTGGTGACGTGACTGAGGCAGCAGTTGCTCAATGCGAGGCTACCATGCGCACTAGGGCAAACGCCTCACCAGAGGCCATGCAAAAGATGGTAGCGGCCTTTGAATCGTTCAGCGTCACTAAAGAGCAGATCGAGAAGCGTATTCAACGCCGCCTTGATGCCATCCAGCCAGCGCAGGTCGTCAGCCTCAAAAAGATTTACGCCAGCTTGCGCGATGGCATGAGCAACCCCGCTGATTGGTTTGAAGGCACTGAAGCAGAACCCACCCCGCAAACCACAACCTCATCCAGAACAAATTCAGTCAAAGCTAAGGCCCGGGAACAGCGCGAGGCAGCACAGAAAACAAGCGGCGCAAATCAGCAGGACAATACGCCGCACCATCTTGAACAAGATGGCCAACAGCAATCGCTGGGCATCACGTTCACTCAAGTATCCGACCAACTGCACAGAGCAAGCGATATTGACCTACTTGATGCGGCCGCAGACCTAATTGGCGAGGTGACCGATTCCGCGCACCGCGAGGAATTAAATTACATCTACCACCTGCGCCGCGCTGAACTTGAACAAGTATGAGCGCAATGATTTTTTAATTCAAATAAACGTGAGGCACAATAACTATGGCGCGCTTTGTTACTGTAGAAAAAATGGCTGACGAAACAGGCTATACAGAGAAAGCTATTAGGAACAAATGTAATACCGGTGTTTGGGCTATAAATGAAGTTTGGATCAAGGCTCTTGATGGCCGCATATTAATAGATATAGAAGGGTATAACGAATGGGCATTAAAAGGATTGGCGTTAAAGCAGGCTCGAAATCGAGTATCGAAATCACCTTTTCGTACAATGGCAAGCGCTGCCGGGAACGTATCTCGCTGCCGCCTACAGCCACTAACCTAAAACGAGCTGAGCAACATCGAGCAAGTATCCTTTTTGAAATATCCCAGGGAACATTTAATTACGCACAAGTATTTCCAAATTCTATCCAAGCAGAAAATTATGCTAATAATCCAGATGAGGCTACCGAAGCTAAAAAAGTGGAGTTTTATCTAAAAACTTGGCTTAAGGATAAAAAGGAACATATAGCAGCAAGCACATACCGTGACTATAATTCAATTATCAATCGCCTACTCATACCTAAATTTGGCGAAAAATATTTATCAGAAGTAACACGAAAAAATATTAAGGATTGGCTTAAGCCAATGAATGTAAGTAATAAAAGGTTTTCAAATATCCAAAGCTGCTTCCGCTCAGCATTAACCGATGCTGTAAATGACGAACTAATTGAGGATAATCCTTTATCTAATTGGTGTTATAGCCGGTTAGAAGGACCACGCACTGAGGATGATATAGATCCTTTCACAATCGAGGAACAGAAAGCAATCCTTGAAACGTTAGACGATCAAACACGCAACTTAATCCAATTCGCATTCTGGACAGGTCTACGTACCAGTGAATTTATAGCGCTTGACTGGACAGATATTGACTTTTTGCGTGGGCATGTCCTGGTACGTAAGGCAATAACACGCGCATCTCGCGGTAAAGCAGAGGACACAAAAACACGCGCTGGCCGACGAGAAGTCAAAATCCTTCCACCAGCGCTAGCCGCGCTGAACGCGCAAAAAGCCCATACCTTTTCACTTGAAAACAACGCCGTATTTCACCATCCGACTACTAATAAACGCTGGGAGGGTGACCACCAAATATGGCGTATTTGGCAAACCGCTATACCACGCTCTGGGGTACGCTATCGTCGTCCTTATCAGACGCGACATACCTATGCATCGATGATGCTATCTGCTGGCGAGCATCCGATGTGGGTAGCTAAGCAGATGGGACATTCGGATTGGACAATGATAGCTCGTCGTTATGGTCGCTGGATGCCTTCAGCAGACGAGAAGGCAGGAGAGAGGGCCATTGAGCTTTTTGGTAAGAAAATGCTAGAAAGTTGCTGTAATTCTGATTAAAAATCAAAGGAAGTATGAAGAAAAAACATAAATATTTGATTTATAAGGATTTATGGTGCGAGGAACGGGACTCGAACCCGTACACCATTTCTGGCGTCAGGACCTAAACCTGGTGCGTCTACCTATTTCGCCACCCTCGCAACTCGATTAAACACGCTTCATATCGCTTTTATTCTGATGCGCCTCAAATATCTTTCTAGACAAAACTGCCCTGTTCTACAGTAAAAAAATGTTGGCAAAATGTTGGCATTTCGAGGGGAAATGGAGGGAAATCAGGGGTAAAAAGTGACTTCCAAAAAAACGTAAGCCTTTGATTTATAAGGCTTTTATGGTGCGAGGAGCGGGACTCGAACCCGCACGCTATTTAACTAGCGTCAGGACCTAAACCTGGTGCGTCTACCTATTTCGCCACCCTCGCAATCTGATTGGCATTGCACGTTTTGTACTACTTTTTATACTTAACGTGCTTTGCAACTATCGATGGGCCGCGATTCTACCAGATCCTCTATCGAAAATTCATAAAATAAAGATAAATTGTCGGCGGTTTTCGTTATTTTATGACTGTGCTGCCCCAGCAGATGGGTGCTGTCTTATTTTTAGCTCAAAGCCCTGCGTATCACTGACCAATTCCGCATGTGCGCCAACGGGCAAGGTTGCAATATCAGGGCCGTGTCCAACGGGTAAGCCTGTGAGGATCGGGATGTGTAAGGTATTGCGCAGGTAGTCCAGCATATCGTCTAAAGTGTAACTGGTATCTTGCTCGGCAGGACGATTTGCACCTAACTCTCCTATAAGAAGTGCTTGCTGGCGTCCTAATATGCCAGCTAAGTGTAGCTGGCACAGCATGCGTTCTAGGCGAAAAGGTGCTTCATTGATATCTTCAATAAATAAAATGCCGCCTTCAATCTGAGGCAGATAAGGGGTGCCAATGAGGGAAACGATATTGGCGAGATTGCCTCCCCATAAAAGTCCAGAGCAGTGCAATGATTGAGTTTGTGGAGAATGCACGCTTAGCGTGAGGGGAGACGGTGCAAATATTTTCTCAAACGCATTCATGGTGAATGCGCTTGCTGTTTGTGCACCAAAATGACTGCATAGCATGGGGCCGCTATAGGTAGTCAGCCCTGCTTTAGCCAGCAAAGCCATTTGTATGGCGGTGAAATCGCTGTGGCCCATTAAAATAGTTGGGGTATGCTTCAAGCGTTGTTGCAAGCCTGTGTAATTTAGTAGAGGCAATAAACGAATAGCCCCATACCCTCCCCGCGCAGCAAGTACTAGCTCAGGAAGTGCATAGTGTGGGTCGGCTAACTGATTGATCTGCGCAGCACGCACTTCGTCTGTGCCTGCAAAACGCAAAAATCGCTGTTGCGTTACCTCAAGCTGGTCTATTTGCCAGTGCGCAGCTTGTAAGCGCGCAATGGCGCGATCAACGCTGGCTGGGTCGCGTACATGCCCCGATGGTGCAATGAGATTACAACGGCGTAAAAATGGCATTTGAGAAATAAGGTCTACAGAATAAAATGAAAAAAGAGCCACGGCGCACTGCACCGCCACAAAGATGAGCCCTTTGGGGCCAATTATAGAAACCCTTTAGTAAACCATGAATGGAAAGGCATATGGATCGCATACCTCCTTTAGCTCAGTCTGGAAATTCCCGCCAAGTTCAAACAGAGTCTTATACCCATGATAGCGCTAGCCCTATCATAGCTTCTTTCGATGCGTCAGAGCCCATACAACAGGCAGTTGTACAAACGCCGCATGCTACAAAAACGATAGATTGCCTGTTTATAGGTGAATTATCTTCTCGTGCCCATTATTTCCATCCGTCCAACATTATTTGTTTTTCTCCCAATGGATGCTGGATTGCCGCAGCCAGCCTCGACTTGCAACAGGTTTTTTTATACGATACAGAAAATGTGCAAAAGGTATTTGCTTTTGAACGAGAAATTATACCTACAGGTAGAAAGATAGATAATGGTCTTGAAATTCTAGCTTTTTCACAAAATGGGGAATATCTTGCTGCCAGTGGATGTGACTCTATCTATATATATAATATCCATACACTTGAACTGGATATGGTTATAGAAAAAAACACACTATTACAGAGAGAATATTTGGAGCGCATAGCACTTTCTTCAGATAGAAAGTGGATGGTTAATGAAGATTCCATTTTAACGAGCATGACTGCCCCCTATCCATGCATCCGGTCTTTAGCAAGAAATGAAAATCATATTCAACCTGTTTTTTTACCTTGCAATACCTGGCTCGCCTGCGCAGGCAACGGCATAGTGCATATATATTCTCTTCCTATAGAAGGGCAATCAAAAGCACTACCAGAAATACAGTTAAAACTGGAAACAAAAAAGAACGCGGCTGCGCCCTCTCCATCCTCTATGCATGTAGCATGGAATAGCCATTTATATGCGCCGCAAATAGCCGCGCAGGCAAAAACAGCATCAAGATATGCAATACCAGAAATCACTGCGTTGGCAGCATCCCCAAATGGACGATGGTTGGCAGTAGCGAATATAAGTTGTGCTTACAATGATAGCGCGCATTTTTCTATCGGTCTTTGGCAGACTGTTAGACCTGGCTACCCCCCTGAGCGATTTCGTTGCACCTTGCGTGGACACACAGCCAAAATAAACCTCATTACTTTTTCTGAAAATAATCAATGGCTAGCTTCTGTAAGCAGACATGAGCATGCTATTCGGATTTGGTCTACTCAATCTGCACAATGCCTGGCTACTATACAAGTCCGCCCCTTATTTATTGAGGATTGTATTTTGCAAGAAACACAAATAGGGTGTGATTTAATTATTCGGTCTTTTAAGAAATTCCATCGTATATCTATCGAGCTTCCTAAAACGCAAACCATTACACTTGCGGAAAAATACAGCGTCTAATACACCTGCGTATTTTCCACTTATTTTTTATTTTTTTTGCTCACCCCGGCTTTGGTTAAAGAAATAGCCACGGCCTGCTTTTGTGCTGCTTGTTTACTTTTAGGATGACTGCTTCCAATATGGCCTTCATCCTTATACTCATGCATAAGTGTTTTAATGTTTTCAGAAATGGCTTCTCGAGATTTTCCTTTTTTTAAAGGCATTGTACCCTCCCCCTCTGCTTATAAGTATTGAAACTATACTTATAAGACTATTATACAATCCATATTTAATATAACCCGTTTCGCTCTCATGCCCCTATCTTTAAATTACCTGCCGAGAAAATATCTCACTCTACTCCTTCTAATTTTATGTGCAAGCCTGACTACGGTTCAGGCTGAACCTGAAACTATTCCCCATGATGCAGTAGTTGAAACCTGTTTTTCCTATACACGTACCTGTAGCGCAACGGTAGCGGAGTTTATCGAAAGTGCACAGCGTCACGTCTGGCTTGCAGGTTATAGCTTTACTTCGAGCCAAATCGCACAAGCACTTAAAGAGGCACATACACGCGGCGTAAAAGTCCACTTAGTATTAGACGCCTCCAATGAATTTAGCCGATCAAGCAAAGCAGCGGAACTGGTTGCCTATGGAGTGGATGTACATGTTAATCATCGGTATGCCATCATGCACCACAAGTTTTTAATCGTAGATAACGCCGTGGCTTTTGGGTCTATGAATTTTACGGAGGGGGGCAATCGGAGAAATGCGGAGAATTTTAATATTTTTAAGCAGATGCCGGAATTAGCGAAACAATATCAAAGAGAGTTTTTAAGGCTGTATGCTGAGTCACAGCCTTATGTATCGAGGGTTAAACCTAGAAGTTAATAAAGGCAAGTCCTTGCATGAAATGGAGGCTGAGCCCAGTGCGAGTGCCAGAACTTTTTTAAGGCCGTTGAATATCACTTTTAATTGAGTGAAAATTGCTCTAGATATTCAGCCGCTGACTCAGGCCCTGCGCGTAATTGAGCCAGTCCTTGCTCATAATGCAAGCGCCTATCTGTTTAGTTCTCTTGCCACAGATAGTCCATTGCCTCATCAGAGTTAACTTCGAGATCAACGTCTTCTATGTCTGCCCATTGATCGTTTTCGCTTTTTAGACGTAGCCGAGGAATTCATTGTTCTTTCTGCCTCTTCTATTTTTTTTCTAAAGTGCGCTTCACCTGCTTTTAACCAAATAGATTGACGCCTACTTTTAGAGGAGTAAAAATAAAGATAACCGTTTTGTATATAAAGTGGCATGTTCTTCTTGAAACTCTCTGGAACCAAGATGGTTGAATAGATTAATTGAAAGAGAGCAGGCTCCAAAGTAGGTAATAAAGGATAGAGTGCATCACTAAAGCTGCATAATAAATTTTTTATGTCCCATATGGAGCCTTGTTTTTCCTTCAATAATCTAATCAAACTTTCCACTGCTTGAGGGGGCAAAGAAAGCTGGTTTTTTAAGATGCCATAGGCGCTACTTCGAACACTATAATCATCTTCCCCCAATAGCATAATTAGGCTCTCTAGTGCTTTAGGTGGTATAGAAGATTGGGCTTTTAAAATTTTATCAACGCTCCAATAAACGGAGCGATTCTTCAATAGCGTAACCAGGTTCTTGATCGCTTGAGAGGGTAAGGATTGCTGTTGTTCTAACGCTTTAATAGCGGTCTGCCGAATCTCCTCATTCTCATCTGACAAGAGTACTATCAGCCTCTGAGCTATTTCCTCTGACAAGGCGGGTTGGGTACCCAAAGCAAAAGCAGCCATCTTCCTCAGGTAATAGTCTTCACTCTGTAAAAATGGGATTAAGTCCTCATTTGCTTGAGCTGGTATGGAAGGCTGTTTGCATATAATGTCAGCAATTAGAGTATTTTCGAATCGGGTAGGTTTAACCTCATCATGCAAAAGTGTGATGAGGTCTCGCACGATTTGAAGCGGTAATGGAGAATGTTTTTCTAATACTTTGGCGGCTGTATAGCTATTTGCACCGCTAAACAGCGTAATTAGGCACTTTAGTGCTTGCGGCGATAAGGTTTGCTGGTTACTTAATGCTTTGGCAATTGGCCAGCAAAGGACTCCCTCCTTCAATAGAGCAATTAAACTCATGACGGTTTCCTCTGGTAAGGAAGCATGAGTGCCTAATGCAGAAATAGCTACCTGCTGGATATATTGATCTCTGCTTTGTAAAAATGTATGCAAGCCTTTGATTGCTTCAGACAGCGAGAGCGGTTTATCTAATACTTCGTTGCCCATGGGCTGAATGCCCCTATCCTTTAATAATGCGCTCAGACCTTGGAATGCTTGAAGTGGTAAAGGAGGTTTTTGACCTAATATTTCAATAATTACTGATCGGACGTCTGCATTTTTCAATAGAGCCATCAAGCTCATGACTGCTTCATCCAGCAAGCAGATCTGGTTCTTTAGGATTGCAGAGGCTGCCCAGCGGACGTTCCAATCTCTTAATAGTGAGATTAGGCTCTCGATTTCT